GAGGAATCCGTCTTCGTCTTCTGGTGGAATCGACCTTCGAGTCTCTTCACCAAACACTTTAACTCGAAATCGAAGTAAGCACAACAATTACGAAACAAGAGATTACTCGAAACCTAACTTTTCTTCGCATACTCCTGATAGTGTAGCGTAATGGCTAATGTGTCGAGATTATTTGCTACACTATCAGTGTTTGTGTCCTGCTTGGGGTTCTTATGAGGCCTAAGCCACATCCAAACTATATTTCAACCTGAATGAGAATACATTTTGGGAAGCAAGGCTATGTGAAATTCACTGGAAACTTTACTCTTACCTTGTATCCTTTTACTTTCCAGGCTCTTCTGAACTTGGGGAGTTCGGATCCTAACCTACGATCAGCAGCTTACAATCTCCTTTGTGCACTAACCAAGACTTTCGATTTGAAGATTGAGGGCCAGCTATTGGAAACGCATGGCCTCTGCATTCCAGCCAATAACACGCTGTTTATTGCGGAGATCAGCAAGCGCCTGGCTCAGTTGGAACCTCATCTGACGCTAGAGTTCCTCGACGAATGCATTCAGGTCTTCAGCACTTCTACTATCGAGATGAAGCACCTATGCCTCGAATACATGACACCTTGGCTGCGTAACTTGACCCGTTTCTGCCGAGGAGATGAAGCCAAACGGCACAAGGTGAGGTACTCTTCTTTCTTTCGATCATATGATTGACCCAGTTTATCTCGTAAAGCATCTTTTTCTAGTTTTAAAATTAAAAAAATTCAGTTAAACCAAATAAGTTCATGATATTAGTGAATTTGTCTAATTTTTCTCTGTTCACCTCGCTTGATTCTATTATATGAACCTCGGTGAAAAGAAGAGTTAAGTAAGATATTAGAGTTGTCAAACCTAGATTAGTGAATTTCGATATTAATATAGGACCATATGCTAATGACTGTCTGACCAATATTAGCAATGAAGAGAGCAACATGCATATTCTGAAACTTAACGTTATCTTCTTTCGATTACTGCCCTAACTACACTGCGACAAAATACGTATCTTGACACTGTAATAAGCTGGTCTTACATAGTTGTATTACTGATAGCCACATTTCAGTAATATATTTATCGACTGGCGAACTTATGGTTGCCTCTTGATATAAAACGTGCACAGATATGAAGCCTACTTTGCTCTGAAGTCATTCCAGCATTATGGCTCATTGGCTTATCTATCTTTTAGCTTATAGGATAGTGTATTTGTCTTAGAAGCCACGCACCCAAAGTTTGAACCTCTCTGGAGGTGATGGTGAAGTCAACCTTGATGGGATTTCATTTTTTGGATGCACGGCGCAATGGAGTTCATTGTCAAACTAAGCCTTCTCGCTTCTCTGCGAATGGCTCCATTTTATTCTCATCTAACCTCATTCGATTCTTAATTTCTTATGAATAACCTTACTCTTTCTTCAATGAAATTTTGAGCAGCATGACCACGGTTACATTTTTTTGCAGGCAACTATTTAAAACCAAAGCGAGGAACCAGGTTACATAGAAGTTAGAAGATTAAAATGAAATCATTTAAAAAAATCATTATTCTGAACTTATGCATATAGGTTAGTTCTATCTATGTAATCACATTAATTGCTTAACATTTCTTTACCATTTAAAGTGTTCACAGTTGGAATTAAGTAATCTGCAATTTAAATTCAGTTATCACATTTTATTGCCGCCTCCAGGTAACGCTTATCCTGGACAAGCTTATCACACTGACTATAGAAGAGGAGCAGATGTATCCGTCA